GTGCTGCCAGCACTTGACCTGTTCCGTCTCCCAGCTTGGGCAGGCTTCGCGGCTCCGGCCCTGCAGGTCCTCCTCGCAGACCGAGCGGTACTCGCAGAGCCCACAGGGGACGCTCTTCGACGTCAGGGTAAAGGTCTCCCTGGGGGTGGGGGAGGAGAAGGAGCAGCACGAGGGAAGGAGGAAACGTCCAGGAGGTCTTCGTCAGAACGACGAAAGGCTCTGACACCAGATCAAAAGGCCAATGAACAATAAGGCTGGATCAAGCCCCAGACTATGCCGAGTTGAACTGGACTATGCCGGCTTGGGCCATGCTTCGACCAGCACCGATGTTGAATCCCACCAGCCATTTCGGGCGTAGGTGGTCTTGGGTGTTTTGTCTTCCATCTGCCCCGCTTCCCCTTCGGGGAGGGGTTTATCATTGTTCCCTATTAATAAACACCCCCTCCCCCACCTGGCCAACAGACAGCCAGGAACCATGCGGGCACCCCCCGCACCATCCTTGTCAAAAGACAATACAACATGCACATTGCGGGGCCCACCCTGCCAACACCCTCCACAGTCCCTGTCAAAAAACAATACGAAGTGCACATTGCAGCAACATCTGGACAGTGCGCTGGCGCACTGTGAGCACGTTGCATTGTTTTTTGAAAGGGATGGCGGGGCACCCTTAGTGAAGCCGCTTTGTGCAGGACCCCCATCCGTGTCAAAAACAATGCAAAGTGCACGTGGCGACAACGTCGTGGATATGCTGGCCACCCACGATCACTTTGCATTATTTTTTGACAGGGACGGCGGTGGTGCCCGCATGCTGATGCTTGCTGTGCGCAGGCCCAGAACAATGCTGACGCCCCCCACATCAGCAACTGGACCATGCGGACGGGGGGGCATCACGTTTTTTACAAGGATGGCACACCAACCGCATGTGGAGCCCGCGGCGAGCGTCGCGCACTTGGCGTCCACTTTGGTTCCCAGTGGCTGTGCAGCATCCAGTGGCGACCCCTGGATATGCCGAGACTCGGCTGCCACTTATGCGGTGGGAGGGCGGGTGGGAGTGAGCTAGACGGCTTGCGTGCGGAGAGGCTGTCTTGACACCTCCTCCGCCCCCCCCCCCCTGGACCTGGACGGGGCCGGTCGCGAGGTGTCAGAGCATCCAAAGCGGCCTCGGCGAGGAAGCCAAAATCATTAGTTTTACTCAGGTTTTGGCTCCATGTTGGCCTCTTGGGGTGGTACCCCTAATTGAATCTCCCCTCTTGTTTGATCGATGTCCTCCAAGATGACCCAAGGATGGCCCCCAAGGCTCCCAAGGGCTCTCCAAAAGAGCCCCAAGAAGTGTCCAGGCCCCGAAATGCCCCCAAGAGGCGCCCAGGATGCCCCCAAGAGGCTCCCACGAGACCCCGAAGAGGCCCCAAGAGGCCCCCCAGCGGCACCCAAGACGCCCCAAGAGGCCTTGGCGAGAATGCAAAAGACATTGACTGTACTATGGTTTTGGCCACATTTGTCCTCCTGGGGGGGGGGGGCACTGATTAAGTTGGCCCCATGAGCGCCTGGGAGAGCCCACGATGACCTGCAAGATGGCTCCCAAGATGCTGAAAGAGGCCCCAAGACCGCTCCAAGACGGCTCCAAGTGGCCAAAGTGCTCCCCCAGGAGGCCCCGAAGAGGACACAATTCTTCCCAAACCTAGGAAAACCACTGTTTGTTGTTTTTGTTTTGCCTTTTCGCTTCCGATGGCCATCCGAGGCCTCAAGATGGCTTCAAGATGGGCCAAGAGGGCCCAAGAGAGGCTCAAGAGAGCCCCAAGACGGCCCCAAGAGCGCCCAAGAGCGCTCCAAAAGCGCCCCAAGAGGAGACTTTTGGGGCTCCCGAGGGCAACGCTCATTAATGCCCCCCTCTTGTTTGATCGATGTCCTCCAAGACGACCCCAAGAGCGCCCCTAATGCCCCCAAGAGCGCCTCAAGAGGGCCCCAAGAGGCGCCCAGGAGGCCCCAAGCGGCGCCCAAGAGGCCTCCATGAGGTTCCCAAGGGACCCCCAAGAGGTCCCAAAAGGCTCCCCGAGACGCTCCAAGAGGCCCCCGGGACCGCCAAGAGGCCCCCCAAATGCAAGAGAGGCCCAAGAGAGCCCCAAGACGGCCCCAAGAGCGCCCAAGGGAGTCCCAAGAGCGCTCCAAGAGGGACCCTTCATCGGCGTGCTGCCCAGTTCCCTGATCGAGGCAAATCCTCTGGACATCGTCTCTGGATGGGCTGGTGGGGTTACTGTTTGGTCTGCGGGCTCGCGAAGCAGGTCGAAAGCCGTCCGCACACTAGTCGGGCAGCGACTAGGCAGCAGGAAAAAAGAGGCAAGCGAAGCGAGCGCGCTGCTGGTGGGGTTACGCGAAGCGTCAAAAATTAAACCTCGCAGGTGTTGCATCCCAAACGAAGGGAGGGAGAGAAGAAGACCGAGACCTGAAGGAGACGAGCGTGCACACGAAGGCATAGACTGACACGGGCACCTCGTATTTCTTGTACTTGTAGATGGTGACGGCCACCGCAAGCGTGCACACGAACAGGAGGAGCTCCAGCGGCAAGCAGACCAGCACGCAAATGCGGCCGAGAATGACGGTTCCGAGCAGAGCGGTGATCCTCGACCCAAGGCTCTTGAAGGTGTTTTTTAGGCACGAGCCCGACAGTATGGCCATTGCTGCAGCACGGTGAAGCTTGTGTGCTTGGTCCACATTGGCTGCGGGATATTACCCCGTAAGTGTTTCCTTCAGAGAAGGAGTCCCAACATGCTCCGTGCTGGAGGGCAGGTGGCACTAAGATATAGGAACCGGATTCCTGAGGGATGCGTCCTGCACTTCTCAGGGAACCCCCAACGATCAATACACTGGCAAACAATACGGGGCAAAGCCAGCGAGTGAAGCAGGCGAGAGGGAGGGAGGGATTTGGGGGTGATTTCGACGCTGATGAGCCTGTCAGCAGAGGCCGACACGCACCTCGCAGAACACCGGTCAGACTAAAGCTAAAGACTCTGCACGCTGCGACTTTGACGAGAAAAACACCTTCTCCTAGACGAGTGCGTTCCACTACTCGCAAAGTAGCTACTTGCAAACGGCCTGGATCCGCCACAGGGGATCTACGATAAATCACATCAAAGCAGACATGTGTTTGGGGACGTTTGCGAGTAGGTACTTTGCGAGTGGTGGAGCGCGCTCGGCGATCTCCTGTCCCCACCTTGGGGGGTCTAACACGGCGCCTGGACGTGGGGCGCGGCGCTTCCGGCCTCCAGCAAGAAGCAACAGGTCCCCACGCCACCGTCGAGGCCGTGCCTCCAAGGCCGCTCCCCCAAGGGAGAAGCCCACAGACAGCGCCCGGCAGTCGTGCCACAGCCGCGCGGGCAAGGCAGGCAGGGGCAGCCTGCGAGGGAGAAGGCGGGACCCGTGGCATCAGCAAGACACGCGGGGGGTCCAGTGCCGCTGACCTCGAGAAGGGGCAGTGGACATACGCTCCGCTTCGGGCGGGGCCTCCAGGGGCCCATCGTCCTCGTCCCAGCGCACCTTCTTCCAGGGCCGAGCCGTGGCTCACGCTTCGGCCCCTCCACCGCCAGACCCCGCCAGATCCGCATCCCCCCCCACCTCCTCCTGCTCCTTGCTCATCCTTCCTCCTACCCCTCCCCCTCCTCCTTCTCCTCCTTCCTCCTCCTCTCTCCTCCTCCCTCATTGTCCTCCTCCCCCTGCCCCTCCGTCCCCCTCCTCCAATTGCATTCCTCCTCCTCCTCCTCCTCCTCCTCCTCCTCCTCACCTCACCCTCCTCCTGCACGTCCTCCTCCTCCTCCTCCTTCTCCTCCTCCTCCTCCTCCTCCTTCTTCTCCTCTTCTGATGTTTTCTTATTTTTCTTCTCCCCAAAGGCCCACTTGCCTCGCTTGGAAAGTCAGTGCTCGCGCGCCATTGGGATAATAATGGATCGCCACCACTCCTGCCGCTGCACTTCCTTCTCCCCGTCGAGTCTCGTCTAAACATCTTCTGATATTCGCCGACTCCCACTGGATCCTGAGCAACATCTCGATGTGGACGCACTCCCAGTCGGCACTCCGATCGAGCGGCTCGTTGACAGCACCATCGGCTAGGCTGTTGAACTCCCGTGGGTCCCCTTCGATGCCTGGCGACATCTGCGTACGTGGTGAGATCGACTGCCTGCCCAGCCGCAACATGTTCGGACGGAGAGCGGCTGGCACCGCATGCCATGCGGCCGTGACTGTCCACACTCCAGTTTCGCACCCCTTTTTTGTCAACCATCCCCAGTTAAGAGGTCCGGACTGGAGCTCGGAGCACTCGGGGGCACCCAGCGGCCTCCAGGAGTCCCAGGGGCCCTCGGGCGGCACATCCACGCCGGCAAGCTCCCCTCGAGGAAAAGCACTCCAGTTTCGCGCCTTGCTCGCTGTCTGCCTGGAACCAGGCCCACAACGTGAACCCCTTCTGACCCGTTCCCCCGGACCAGCGTCTCGCCCCGAGCCGCTGTTCGACGGCCCCTGGGCCCGGTGAGGGTCCCCGGGACCGAAGACTGCCGGAAACCGCGGGTCGTGTTTTTTTCTCTCGCCACGTGAAGAACTGTGCGGGGAGGGGGAGAAAGGGACGGGGCTCGGGGCGTTTCCTTCTCCTGTTCATGTTGCTGGCCCTCATCCTCCCCCTTGGCCTCCTCCTCGTCCTCCTCCGTTTCCTCCTCCGTTTCCTCCTCCTCCTCCTCCTCCTCCTCCTCCTCCTCCTCCTCACCATCACCATCAACATCACCATCACCATCACCGTCACCGTCACCGCTATAGCACCACCACCACCACCACCACCACCACCACCACCACCACCACCACCATCCCCATCCCCATCCTCATCCTCACTCTCCTCCTCCTCCTCCTCCTCCTCCTCGTCCTCCTCCTCGTCCTCCTCCTCGTCCTCATCCTCTCTTGTCCTCGTCCTCGTCCTCGTCCTCTCTTGTCTTCGTCCTCATCATCATCCCCCCCTGAGCCCCGTGCGCTGGCGCGCTTGGCACTCGCCGCGATGCTGCCCACGATGACGACGCTGGAGCGCCCTGTCCCCCGGCTCACCCTGCGACCCCTTTCCCTCGAGGCTGCCAGCGAGAATGACCCCTACCTCCTCTCGTCGCGAGAAACATACAGTTGAACCTCAGACATAATAACGTCTCTCAAGAACGCGAGACCCTCGGCCGGCCAAAACACGCAGAACATCCAGCGGTACCCTCCCCAGGGCCACAATAACATCCAACAAACACGAACAAAAACAACAGGGCATCCTCCCCGAAACGATCTCGATCTTTATACCTCGGTCCGACTGTATCTCGACGGAAGAAGTTGTAGGTTCGAGGTTTTCGGGTGGTTTCGTCGGTTCTCTGAGGTTTCCCAGCCTCAAATGCTCTCCAGCAGCTGCGCCTCGATGGAAGAAGTTGTAGGTTCGAGGTTTTCGGGTGGTTTCGTCGGTTCCTTTAGGTTTTCCAGTCTCCAAATACTCTCCAGCCAGCTGCGCCTCGCCGAGGGCGTTGCGGGCGCTCCTGAATCGTCCCGAACGGCCGCCGATGACACGAGTTATGACCCGAACATCACACCTCCTCTCGTAATGCAACAGAATCACGGCGGGCAGCTTATGCTAGCTTTCGGACTCTGGGGGCCTTGGCCAGGCCTCGGGGGGCCGTCAGCAAAAACACTCGAGATGAGAAGCTGGTCCCAGGGGAAGGGCTCCAGACCTCTGGGGCCCCAAGTCGAGGAACAAAAACACGGCGTCGGAGTTCTGGGGGGGAGGGAGACGAGGAGGTGAGGTCTGACACTTCTGGCTTCTCGCCTCTGTGGTCTGACTGAGAATAAGAGGCGCGGTGAGAGATGAGAGATCAGCCGCGAAGCAAACCGAGACGAAGCGAACGCTGCCCTTGACTCAGCCACGAGGACTGGGAGCGGAAATGGGCTCGAGCATCAGCCGCACAGAGCTGCGGCCGTATGAGGCGCGCCGCCCTCGAGTCTTCATTGAACCTCAAATGAGCGTCGATCGAAAACGGGTCTTGAGAGAGAGAACATAACAAATTTATGCGGTTACTCACGCGGGCCGCCAGCGCGGCACGCTACGCTGGAAGCGAGGGCGCTTTCGCGCGCGAGCAGCTTACGCTCCAAATGTCGGCGCAGTCGAACCCGTTTTCTTTTCGTCGCTCGGTTCCCCAATGACCCCTGGCATCTGATTCCTTCGTCGCGCTTGTCTGGACAATTCTAACAGAAGGACGCCGACCCCCACGTGCTGTGGTTGAGAAGGCGCGTGAAGTATGTGCTGTTCCCCTCCCCCTTCCCCCTTCCCCCAGGGTCGAACGTCCGATTAGAGGGGGGGTCCGGGGGGGAGCATCTCAGCTGGCTGAAGCTAGACACAAACTCAACGAGGAGAGCTCGAACAAAAACCAAAATGGCCCGACGAGCGACAAAATCGCCTCCAAGACGCCACAGCAAGGCTCCAAGAGAGCCCGTCAGAGGGCCCCGAGACGCCAACATGAGACGCTAACATCGTCCCAATCCCAGCAGAAAGCGTATACTTTTCGCAGAGTCCAGTTTCTCTTTGCCTTGATCTGCCACCGTGCCGCTGGGCACGGAGTGGGCGTGTCCTCAGGTCAAGGATCCCGAAGAGGCCCCCGAAAACCTCACCCGTGAACTTGTTTTTCCGTAGGGGGGTCGGCGTGGCCGTATGACCGCCTGATCCGGCAGCCGGCGGGCCAGCCCCTGCGGCAGCCGTTTCGCCTGCGACCTCCTCGCAAGTTGTTCTACAGTGCGTTGCTGCAAAGTACATGTCTGCAGATGGCTCCGAGTTCGAGCACAGGCTGGAAACATAACAGGCTCAGTGATTCATGCCAGCCTGCGAATCTCAGGAAGTTATGGCCGTAGAGGCTCCTCGAACATATCCTCTGCCACTCTACAAAGAGCGGCGCTCACGAGCTCCGAGCCAATGAGCTCTGCTTCGGTGATGCTCGTGCCTGCTGGCAACAGGATGCTGGCCCAGGCCATGGTGATCCACCGCGGCTCCACCAGAGTCGAACGGGTCGAACGAAGTTTTCACCATCCGGCCGCATGAGCCCAAATCGTCGTTACAACTGCCGCCATCGAGCCAGCCTCGCAATCTCTCTGGCCGCAAGTGCGAAGGACGCCGCCACCACTCGGACGACGTTCGCTCGCCCATTGCCTTGTTCGCCAACTCGTCGGCTTCCTTGTTAAGCTCGCGGTGCACGTGCCAGTGCCAATCAGCTGTCGCCGTACATGGGACGATGTGGCCCGCGCGCCAAGACCCCGAAACGAGGCGCGCGATGCTGGAGAACTGGCCGCAATGCGTCGGGGACTTGATGACGGCGAGGCCGTTAAACCAACTGATCACCAGCTCGCTGTCCCCAGGATCTCCACCAGGAGGGTGTCCTGCTCAAGCTCGCAGCGCCGTCAGGCGACGGGGCGTTCCAGGATGATTCGGCTCCTCTTCTTCGGAGGCTCGCGCACGGGCAAGTCCTTATCCTCGCCGCCGACGCTGGCAATTACAGTCGACTGCGGACGTTTGAATGCTGTCTTGGCGAACTCCCGGAAGGACGCGCTCCACCTGGTAGCTTTGGCACGATCGCTCCACTCCAACCCGTCGTGTTTAACAGATGGCGCGTCCCACGTTTTACCGCGATTGCCAAAAGTAGCCTCGTGTTTCCATCCAGTGCGACCCGACGGGCCCACGATCTTACCAACTGCCTGCTGCCAGTGCCACCGCCAAGTTTGTCGCCACCAAATTGCACCAGCCAACAGAATGACAGTTGAGCGCGCTGCAGAGAATGTGCGTGGATCTGGTTGTTGTAGACAGCTAGCAATCTCGTGCGTTTCACGGAGCACCCGCGCAGTAGTCGGTTCAAAACCCCACTAAAGACTTCGCCTGATTTGTTGACCGCTTGAACCAGTCCACCGAAGACACGTTGGGTTTGCGAGCGGGGCCAAGAATCCATCTCAAGCACGCGTTTTCCCACACGACTAAACGCTGGCATAAAGATTGGCACCAGACCCAAGCGCCGCAGCTGCGCAGCACTCTTGGGACGATCCGTCCGGACAGGCACTCGAAACGTAAGTTCAACGGAATGGCTTTTCTGTCTGCCCAGAAGGTTTTGGCACCTTGGGCAAGCCTGTGGGATGCTGCCTGCCGAGTGTCACCGCGCTCGGTGATCCAGGCCTCAAGGACCTCCAAGCCTGGCACTCTGGGCACGTGGCAACTGGAGCCCGCGACGTCGTCGTGGATTTCCAGAAACTGCCTCCTGGAACTCGCCAAGTAGCAAAGCGAAGACTCCTTCCACGCAAGACGATGGTAAGCAAAAGCGGCCGTGAGACTCGTGATCAACGTTTGAAGGTGATCTTGTTGTTGATGAGTCAGCAGCGAAATATTGTCTGCCCAGACCATGTGGGTGAGGCAGTGATCACCGAGGAAAACGCCATAAGCAGCTTCGTGCCAGAGTGGGACAAGCGCGCCGAGACACATAAGCATAACGGCATTCCACTCAAATGCGCTCTCAACACCGCCCTGTCGAGCGCATGTGTTAAACGATACAGCCTTACCCAGAATGATTTCAGCGGTCTCTTGGACCCTTGATGCCACCAACTGGGGGTATAGCTCCGCTGCTTGGAGCGCCTGGGCGATTGTCTGGGGGCGCATGCTATCAGAGGCAGCGAAAACGTCACCGCTGCATGCGAGAATGGGCACAATGATGCGCTCATCATGCTCTGGCCATCGCTCGGACGTCCATTCCCTGTGCTTTTGTCGGCTTCCTGCGTGGTTTTTCCGCCAAATGATCAAGGATGCTCCTCGATGGTCCTCGCCGAAAGAAAAGAGCACACGTCCGAGCGATGCCAAGTGCTCTCACCTCAGTGCCGGCTCAGAGGCAGCGAAGACGTCACCGCTGCATGCGAAAATGGGCACTCGATGCGCTGATCATGCCACCTCATGCGCTCCTCCTCCTGCTCCTCCTCCTCCTCCTCCCTCTCCTCCTCCTCCTCCTCCTCCTCCTCCTCCTCCTCCTCCTCCTCCTCCTCCTCCTCCTCATCATCCTCCTGCTCCTCCTCCTCCTCCTCCATTTTGGGGCCTGGGCGGCCACGACCCCCTTGCAGAAGACACGCTGAGGTGCACACGGCCGTGCCCTCGCCCCTGCCCCCCCCCAAAAGCAGGCCTCGAAGCCCTCGACCCGCCTCTTCGTCGTCGTCGTCGTCCTCCTCCTCCTCCTCCGCCTCCTCCTCCTCCTCCTCCATCCTCGCTGCTGTGCTCTGACCTTCAGAAGTCTGGACCTTCAGAAGGCTAGATAACAGGACCTCTGCTGCTGACGGATCTGTTTCATGACATCGACCTTCCGAAGTCTAGACCCGCTCCCCCGGACCGGCTTTTCATCTTGCGTCGTTTTGCCACGGCCCCCGGGCCCAGCAAAGGCCCCCGGGGGCCGAGGAGGGCCAAAAACCTCCCGCCGTGGTGTTTAGCGCCTTCAGGGGGTCTGGCTAAGGCTTTTCCTTGACGGCTGGATTCTCCGCCACGTGCTCAACCAGCTCGCACAGCGAGCTGCACGCGGCGAGTCCATCGCGTGAGCTTTTGTGGTGCTGCCCCAGCCGAGACCATCGACGATCCACGAGAGCAGGTAGCCTTCAGCGGACGCGGTCGAGAACTGTTGCTTAGCGTGTCGCGGCGGCGGCCCCGGCGACATGCTCTGCCTTGCGCGCGGATAGCGCGCCTCTCCACTCCGCGGGGCGGGAGGCTGGGACAGGCTCGGGACGTTGACGCTTGGGATTGAGAAGTGGTTAGCGTGTCGCGCCCGAGCGTGGTTGGCCGAAGCGTGCTTTTCATCAGCGAGCAAACGGAGGGGGGAAGTTGGAAGCCGCCGAGGGGGTCTGCGCCTGGGTTTAACCCAGCGGCTACGCTCGCCCTACCAAGGCACTCGAGCCCTACCCTGAGCCCAATGGCTACAGAGAGAGAGAGAGATAGAGATAGAGCTAGAAAGAGAGGGCGAGAGGGAGAGAGAGAGAGAGAGAAGAGAGGAGAGAGGGGATGGGGAGCATCGGCGAGAGCGGGATGGAGGAGTGAGGGCAGGGGCCGAGGAGGGAGGGAGGGAGGGAGGGAGGGAGGGAGGGAGGGAGGGAGGGAAGGAGGGAGGAGCGAGGAGGGAGGGAGGGGGTAGGGATGCAGGGGCCGAGAGGGGAGGGAGGGAGGGAGGGAGGGAGGGAGGGAGGGAGTCAGATGCAGAAGGACAGAGGCGTCCCCGAAAAAGGGGGGAAGGCAAAGAAGAGGGGGCAGCTAGTCGGAGGAGCCCGCCGGGGTGGGGGAGGGCGTCGCGCGCGGGCGCCTGGCCGTACACGACGACGACGAGGACGACGACGACGACGACGACGAACGACGACGACGACGAAGAACGACGACGACGACGAAGAACGACGAAGACGACGAAGGACGACGACGACGACGACGACGACGACGACGACGACGACGACGACGACGACGACGGGCCTTGGCCGACCACGGCGACGAGGACGTCTGCGCTCCGTGGGCTCCTCACCAGCTGCGCCGGCACGGGGGCCTCCGCCCCACCGCCCAGACTGGCACGGCCCCCCCCCCCCTCGACCGACGTCTGGTGCACGGCCTCCTGGGCCGCATCCCCATGCTGGGCCATGCATCTGATAGGGGGCCGCATGCGAGCCCTACCCCTGCCCCCCAAGAGTTCTGAGGGGGAGGGTGGGGTTCACTTTGGGGGGTAGGGGTAGGGTAGGGGGGGTTACCCCCCCTACCCCTCAGAAATCATGGGGGGTAGGGGTAGGGTTCGCATGCGGCCCCCTATGCACGGCCTCCTGGGCCGTATCCCCTATGCTGGGCCATGCATCTGGACTTCGCGGGACCCTTGTGCGAAGGGTGCAAGCCCTTGAGCACGCGCCCAAGGACCTCGCGGCCTGTGGGCGTCGGCCCGGGAGGGCAGGGCTCAAACAGTTTCACAACATTTGAACGTGGCATTGCCCATGCCACGTTTAAACTGATCCATGATGGATTCCGTGATGGAATCCACAAGTCCTGCAGGCGTACACCCCGCCAGCTGGGGAAGAAGAGGCGATTCTGAGAAGGGCGGGCGCCTGCCCACGCAGCGTGGCTCCTGTGGCCACGACGCTCCCAGGGTTGGAGAACCCGACACCTTTGGGCTGAAAAGGGCCCGTTTCGCTGTGAGGGGAGAGCCCGGCGGGCCTGGGCAGTCCGTAACTCCGTCGCTGCCTGCTCTGGCAAGCGGCAATCACCCACGAGAGCGCGACAGGCTGAGCACCGCCACTTGTCCGCGCATCGCTCGCATCGATGGAGGGAGGACGAGAGGGCGGAGACTCCGGCCGAGATGGGGAGGGGGCGGGGACGAGGAGTGGAAGGCCGCTGCCCTCTCGCTGAGGAGTCATGAACGCAGGTCCTGAGGATGGCCCTGGACCGCTTCCCGACGAGGGCCGCAACCGTGTCCCATCCATGTGTGAGCGGGGCGGGTTGGATGAGGCGCTGCCACCACTTGGCCGCTCCCCGTCCGGCCCACTCGTCGCGCGTGCGAGTCTCCCCGGGTGAAAAAACGGGTTCGTGATGAGCTCGGGCGTCTCATCGAGGTGAGACGGGGTCCACTCGATGGCCACATCGCGTCCCGTGTTTGCTCGCATTGCCCTGCGGATCCGAGCCCACAAATCGTGATTTTGACATTGGACGTCTGCTCTGGGGGCACGGATGGCTCAACCAGCGCGCCAGACTTCAACAATCGGGCAGTGATCAGTGGCAAAAGTGAGAGGGCTGAGGGAGGGAGGAGGGGGGGGGAAGGGAGGGAGGGGCGAGGAGGAGGGAGGGAGGGAGGGAAGGAGGGAGGTAGGGCGAGGAAGGAACAGGCGCCAGCGCAGCACAGGGAGCCCCTACCCCCCCCCCCCCGTCCGCTTCTCGCGCTCAGCTGCGGCGCGCTGCTGCTCCTGCCGCTCCTCGGGGACACGTCCAGCCCTCCTGCGCCGCGCCCGGGCCGGCGTGTCCGAGCGCGCCCCGACGAACGCGTCCATCCGTCAAGCCGTCCTCGTCCTGCTCGTCGGCCTCGTCCTCCTCGCCCTCCTCCTGGTCCTCTTCCTCGTCCTCCTGATCGTCGTCCTCCTCCTCCTCCTCCTCCTCCTCCTCCTCCTCCTCCTCCTCCTTGTCCTCGTCGTGCTCGTCCTCGTCCTCCTCGTCCTCGTCCTCCTCCTCCTCCTCCTCCTCCTCCTCCTCCTCCAGCTCCTCGTCCTCTCGTACTCCTCCTCCTCCTCCTCCTCCTCCTCCTCCTCCCCTCCTCCTGCTCCCCTCCTCCTCCTCCTCCTCCTCCTCCTCCTCCTCCTCCTCCTCCTCCTCCTCCTCCTCCTCCTCCTCCTTCTCCTCGGCCTCCTCTCGGGGACCCCCACCTCATATCGCGCCTGGAATCGCGCGCGGGACGGGCCCCCGTGCTCTGGGCGATTTCGCCAGTAGGGCAGAAACTTCCGCCCTACGTTCCAGGCTCCTTTGATGTCGATGTCCGCCCTACTTTGACGTCGCTGTTTCCGCCATGCTTTTGAGGAAATATCCGCCCTACTCTGTTGAGGCGGAACTGTCCATCCCACTTGAGGTGGAACTGCTCCTGGCCCAAGGTGCCCCCAGGATTTCCGAGGAGGCCCCCACGGCCCCCAGAGCACTCCTCAAGAGGCCCAGAGGGCCCCGGGGGCTACAGATTAGAGCGAAAAGCTGGGGGGACCTTGGGCCAGGGGGACCTTTAGCAACCCCCGAGACGGAGAGGGGCGAGGATCTGGCAGAGGAGGGCGGAGGGATGGAGGTCCGCGCGCCACTGCAGGCTACAGCCCCTTCCGGTAGATCTTCGGGTGGTGCCTCGCCGCGTCATGCCGCTTCTCCATGCGCGCGGCGTGGGCGTCCAGGGCACCTTTTCTGGGGCGTGCTTGCAGAGCATTTCTATGTTCCTCGTCGAGGCGCCACACCTGCCGACTAGTTTGCGTATAATGGTGCCAGACTGCCGAGTAGTACTGCGTATAGTAGTCGTACTGCGTATAATGATTCTGCGTGTGGTGCTGTGCCCCATCAGCGAGCGCCAAGCCCACTGGCGCTGGCGTGCGCTCACGTGTGCGGCCAAAGTGGGTGAGGAGGGAGTCGTAGGTGATCGGCTCAAGGTCGAACTCTGTCTGGACTGCGTCGGCGTCGGACTGCCCGTCCCTAGGTTGCACGCTCGCGTGCGTGGGCTTCATCTGCGTGTTGCCGCCAGTGTAGCCGACCGTGAGTTTCAGGACCCCGCCCATCGCGTCAAACATCCTCCCCGACGACCAGACAGAGCCCGTCGAGAAGCGGCACCTCCACGCGGCCGCGGCCGGCGCAGGGCCCGCCCGAGCTGATCGGATCCAGGGCAAGGTCCTCGTCCTCGAGCCGCTGCAGAGCCTCGACGGCGGCGAACCGGGCCCGCTCCACCTCCTCTGGCGAACCGTCCTTCGGGCGGAAGGTGGGCTGCTTCCTGATGCCTTTGTCTGGGCCGTTCTTTATTCGGTACTTAACACGCCACGCCTGTATCATGCTGACCCAGTGTATGTACTTGATGTCGCCCTGGTGTTCTGCGATCTTTCGGCCCGAGCTGATCGGCCCGAGCGCGCGGTCCTCCTCCTCCAACCCCCTCAGCGCCTCGACGGCGGCGAGCCGCGCCCGCTCCACCTCCTCTTGCGAACCGTCCTTCGGGCGGAAGGGCTGCTTCCTGATGCCTTTGTCTGGGCCGTTCTTCATTCGGTACTTAACACGCCACGCCTGTATCATGCTGACCCAGTGCATGTAGTTGATGTCGCTCTGGTGTTCTGCGATCTTTCGGCCCGAGCTGATCGGCCCGAGCGCGCGGTCCTCCTCCTCCAACCCCCTCAGCGCCTCGACGGCGGCGAGCCGCGCCCGCTCCACCTCCTCTTGCGAACCGTCCTTCGGGCGGAAGGGCTGCTTCCTGATGCCTTTGTCTGGGCCGTTCTTCATTCGGTACTTAACACGCCACGCCTGTATCATGCTGACCCAGTGTATGTACTTGATGTCGCCCTGGTGTTCTGCGATCTTTCGGCCCGAGCTGATCGGCCCGAGCGCGCGGTCCTCCTCCTCCAACCCCCTCAGCGCCTCGACGGCGGCGAGCCGCGCCCGTTCCACCTCCTCTTGCGAACCGTCCTTCGGGCGGAAGGTGGGCTGCTTCCTGATGCCTTTTGTCTGGGCCGTTCTTCATCCGGTAGCTCACACACCGCGCCTGTATCATGCTGACCCAACTTATGTACTTGACGCCGCTCTGGCGTTCCGCGCTCTGTGGGCCTGCGGAGGGATCGCCCGAGGCGCTCGGCTCGAGCGTCCTGTGCTGCTTCTGAAGCCGCCGACGCGCATCGCCTCCGACGACCAGAAACAGCCCGTCGAGAAGCGGCACCTCCCCGCGGCCGCGGTTGGCACAGGGCCAGCCCGCGCAGCTCGGCTCGAGGGCGCGGTCCTCCTCCTCGAGCCGCCGCAGCGCCTCGACGGCGGCGAGCCACGCCCGCTCCACCTCCTCTGGCGACTCGTCCGTCGGGCGGAACGTGGGCTGCTTTCTGCAACCTTGATCTGGGCCGTTCTGCATCTTATATTCAATGCGCCACGCCGTCTTGGTTTTGTCCCAACGTATGTGCTTGACGCCGCTCTGACGCTTCGCGCTACCAGCGCTACTGAGCTCCAAGATGTTGCTCGCGAGCTGGTCCGGCCCGTTTCGCTTGAGCCATCCTCACCATGCGAAGCTCGAAGATGTTGCGCGCAAGATGGTCTGGCCCGTTCTGCCTGAGACGTTTCGTAGCACGGGGGATCCAATCACAACCTCTCTCATTCCTTCTCCCTCCTCCCTCCTCCCGCTTCCCGCCTGGCTCCTATGCCCTCCTCCCTCCTCCCGCCTCCCGTCTCCCGCTGCTGCGCCTCTGCCTCCGCCTCCCCGTCCCCGCCGTCGTCGTTTCTGCCGCCTCAACATCCGTCATGCGCGCCCTGCCTTCCGCCCTCCCCAGACATCCGACGTGCGAGAGAGTACGACACCCTCTAGCGTTAGCTTCCTGATACGCATGCGTCACACAAGTTTTCGTGTAAACAAACATCTCGTGTGCAACACATCATGTTATCATGTTCTAACATGCCGTGCCAGCCCGCAATGGACGGGCACGCAATCGACCTTGGAAACCGCAGTGGGTTTGAAAACCCTATTTGGGGATACTGCACTCCGGCGACTATTAGAGCAAATGTGCGCCGCGTTAATGCGAGAATCACATTTTGAAAACGACCCGCCCTCAATCCGTGAAGCTCTTGCAAATCATTAAAACGAATGCGCGCCGCGCTAAGGCGCACATTTTGAAAATAACCCGCCCCACATCTGTGACATTGCTGTCATTCTTGAACTTCAGAATCATAAATGGTGAGGAACTCTCAAGCGAAACGCCTGGCCCGCCCTAAAAACTGGCTTCGGGGTGCGACAGGGAGAAAGTATGTATAAGGAAGAGGAACGGAGGAGGAGGAGGAGGAAGAGGAGGAGGCGCAGCAGGAAAAACCGGAGAAGGAGGAGGAAGAGGAGGAGGAGGAGGAGGAGGAGGAGGACGAGGAGGAGGGGGAGGAGGAGGAGGAAGAAGAGGAGGAGGAGGAGGATATGACATCTTATGATATCACTCAGATTACCCTTTGAGGTCCAGCAGTGTGCTAAATGTGGCCTACTGATATAACCTGTGGGCGGTGTTTTTGCGACAGCTGCGGTTCCAACGAACAGCGAGAAGGCCCATGGCCTCGCGGACAGGTGTCCGCGCTGCCCAATACGGAAGCGATCTGCCGCTCGGGCGCGCAACCCTGGCAGGTACCTCCACGGGGACTAGCGCGCACCATTCCCACTCTCCCCCCCGTGACGACGACCACCCGAGCTCGACGCCCGTCCCCCTCCATTGGCTCGGCCCCCGCGGCCCGCAGGGCTGGCGGCGCGCCATCGGCTGGTTCCGAAGGCCCCCTGCGGCGCGGGTCCTGTCAATGTAATCTAGGATTCGCTTGCTGGCGTATTCTGAGATGCGCTTACCGACGCAGCTGACGCGGAAAAAAACAAAAACAAATTTGTACCGATGGACCGCTCAACAAAACAGCTACGGCTGGGGATGATGGCAACAGGGACGGCAGGGAGAGCCGAGGAAGCATAGGACGACATGGCAGGGTGGACAAGAGACGAGACAACGTCGGGAGAGGTGCCACCTCGTGCCGCTAGCACCGCGAGGCGCTCGCTGCTCTGGAGCCAGCTGATTCGTCGCCCTTGCCCCCGCCCTTGCTCGAGCGGGTTGTGCCGACGATGCGTGAGATCTCTCTCTCTCTCACGGCCCCCGAGGCACGGTGCCTGTCGTCCTCTTCAAGCCGTTCTTCTCCACTAGGAACTTGAGCACCACCACCCACATGTCTGCTGCGATCTGCCCCTCCAAGCAGATGGCCAGGCTCAGCGCGCCCTGCTTCAATTTTTTGCCCGCTCGCTTGCAGTTGAAGCGCGGCGCGCCCATCGCAACGGTCAGCGGGGGCCCGTCCACCACCGCCTCATCCCAGTCGGTCTTCGCCGCCTCGTGCTGGGCCTCGCCCTGATGCGGGCCGTCGGGGCCGATCTTGTCCAGCGCGCGCCTGATTGTCGCGATGTAGACCTGGGCGCGCGGGCCCCCCCGAGCCTTGTAGTCAATCGTCTCGCCGGCCTTCTCGCGCTCCTTGAGCTTCTGCGACTCCTTGTCGCAGGCGGCTCCCCCTGCTTTCCGCGCCTCCCCCACTGCGTCGTCGCCGTCCTCTTTCGCGGAGTAAGTCTCGTGCGCGGCGCCTTCCAGGGGCGCGATCTCGCGGGCGCCCGACATCGCCAGCCAGCTCCGCAATCATCGCGAGCGGCGCCATCTCCCTCTCGTCGACCTTGTCGCCGCCCTTCGCAGCCTGAACACGGGGGCCGCGAGCGCGTTTGGCCTCCGCTCCTGGGCCCCCGAGCCTCTCTTCATCCGCGCCGCATCCCCGCGCCCCTGCTGCCGGAGACGCTCGCCGGCGCCCCTCCTTCCAGCGCGGCCCCCCCGAGAGCGCGATGCAAACTCAGGAGACGGCCGAGGCGCCTCTCGAGATGGAAGGCGGGCCGCTCAACGGCTGCGTATATCTCCCAGGGCCCGATCCACAGGCGAAGTTGCAATTAAAGTCGACGGGCTGTTGAAGATCAGCCGCGGGCCGAGGCCCCCACTTCCCGCGGCGCCCCCTAAGCGTGGATGCTTGTGGGTGTCTAGCCGCGGTAGACTGTGACCGAAATACGCGAACGCATACTGGGCGCAAGCTCGCTTGGCACGGACGCGGGGGAGGTTGCGAATGAAGTGGCGGTGGCGGGGGTGCTCCATTAGGCCATCCAGAGTGCGGGATCGCTCGCCGCGCCCCCTCTCTGGCTGGGCGAGCCTCGCATGCGTGCCGCGGCCGCTCTCGGCAGGGCTGGCGAGCGGCAGCGGGAATTTCGCGCGCGCCCTGTCTTCCGCGAGGTTCGGCTCAAGATTTTTCTGAACTTATATATAGGGGCGCTCCACCGCCTCCTCCGCTGGGTCGACGTCGCCCCCCCCCCCCCCCCCCTCCTCCGCCCCCCCCGGTCCGCGCGAGGGTGGGGGGCCGCAAATGCACGTTCAGCTGCGCAGCTGAATGTGCATTTGCGAAGTCAATTCGAGCGAGGCCCCGACGACCACCATCATCTTCGATCGACGGCCAAGGGCGCTCCCCGATCCTAGCGAGCAGCTTTCCCCCTTCTGGGCATCAGGCGATGCCGTCGAGCGTGTCCGCGGCAATTCTCTTAGTCCATGCAGAAGCGTAAGGTGTCGGACAGGTAGCGCCACGCGGCATCGCCTCTGCTGCCTCGAACGGGAAAGCTCCACATCGTGCCGACAACACCTGCGCGAGGCCGTCCTGCTGCGGCGCCCAGCCCTGGCGCCGCGAAAGACGGCGCGCCAATATCTCACGCTAAGCATTAGCAGCCCCCCAATAAGCCAGGATAGACCGGGCGCCCACGGCGCGCTCGGAGCCGCCCCCTCTCGTCGCGCACGCCCTCCCAACATAGACATCCTCTCCAGTCGTGCTTGTTGCCTGCCCACAATCTGCTTCCTGGAACAGAAAAGGCCCCACGCCCGCTAAGAGCGAAATCTGGGGCGGGCCCTGGGGCGCGATTCGACGCCGAGCCTGCGCGGGGGGAAGGCCCCCAAATGTGCCCATGCTATAATATGAGGGAGTCGCCGCCGCGATGCGTCTCTCGACCTCGGATTGGCGACAGCAGGGCAGGTGTGCGAACAAGGCCCATGCGCCGCGCAACATCTGCGACTCTACGGTCCATCTGATTACCTGCTACTACGTGCTCGCGAATGTGTTTCTCGCGTCCGTGGCCCTTCCCCCTGCAATGAAGAAGCTCGTTGCCGGCTTACCCTTGGTCTGGGAATGCCGTGCTGATGAACGCTAGCTGCCCAATGCGCGACGTCCGGCAGACCTCGCCCATCGCGGCACCCGCGGCCGATGGGGCCGTTCGAAATAAGCAGCCGGCGCACATGTGAAAAGGCATGCCAATTGGCTCCCCACGCCATCCCCCCATCGAGATGGAGGCGGAAGGCATGCGCTCAAACGCCCCTAGCGCCCGACATCTGGCTGGGCCCACGAACGCCCGAGAAACCGCGCGCGTTGAAGGGGTCACCCATTGCCCCTCCTACGCCTGCCGCAACTATCAATGGACCAGAAGTTGCACTTATCTCCTCCGCCGAAAGTCTGCATCGCGGACGGGGCAGTGCCCGATCGCATGGATGGACTGTCTCTCGAAAGACCCCATTTAGCTCGTTCCACTTGGTGCTGCCGATCGCGTTCGAAAGATCTTTCGTCGTGACCGCGTGCGACCGCCGTGCTTAACGTAGCCCGTAACGCGCGATCATCGCCGATGTGATAGCATCCCCCCGGCGACGATGTTTAGCGAAACCGCGGTCCTGGATCGGAGACCTGCGGGATATCCCACGGGCGTGCCAGGCCATGCCGATGGAGTGGGGACCGTGGATAGGCCTACGTCCCGCGGGTCCTGCTTTCTCATGTTTAGATCTCCTATGTCCCTCGATCTGCGCCAGCGAGGGGGGGCGCATCCACGCGACGATTCTGAGAGAACCCAAGATGCAGAATATGGTGGGCCTTCTGAAGATTGGAAGGCGTCCTCCTGGTGACCTAGACCGCCCCCTCGAGTAGAGACCCCGCGCAGGGGGGACAAGACCGCGCCCCGTGTCTCCAGAGAGGTGGTTCCTGGTGGGGTCGCACGACGTTTCGCCGCCTTCCTGACATAGTTCCTAATCGTGTCGAAATCTTCCCCTGCCAACTGCGCGATGGCGTCCTCGTCCGTGGCCGACTTAATAAATACTCTTCCTCTTGCCTCCAAGAAGGCCTGTCTAGTACTTGAGTTTCCCTCCCTCCTTCTGCCCCATGTTTGGACAAGCGCTCGATCCAAACTTCCTCGTCCAGTGGTGGGGGTCCCGAGACGTCGGCCGTCGCGTTGTTTCGCCCCGAATCGTGTCCTAGCCGCTCTCCTCGAGAGCGTCGTCGCGTCCGCCATTTTCCTCTCCCTCCACGCCACCTCGATCATCTCGGCGTGCATCCTCATTTCTTCCTTCCTGGCTCGTCGTCGTTCGGCAAGCAGCAGAGCAGATCGCTTCTTAAGCTCCTCCTCCACCTCCTTCAGCTTCTCTTTGTTCTCACCCTCCGTGCTATTCAGTTTAGACTCCAAAGGTTGAAGACGTAGCCGCAGTAATTCCCTACGACGCCTAGTCTTACTCGGATCCGAAGCCTGCGGTCTACGTGCAAGGTGTCGGTGTCCAATAGTGGTCAGAACGTCATCGAATTGCTCGAAGAAGGTGTCAGCCAATCCTTTCTGTGAGTATCCCACAAACTCGGCCTCGCGAGCCTCCCACTCCGTCACTGCATCCTGGAGGAACAAGTCCTTGCCTTTGCCACTACGGACAGCCTGCATCTGCGCCGAGGGTCCGTGCTTGTGGGAGGGGCCTGGGGAAGCATGTGCGGCTCTTTTTCGTATCCGAGGACCAGGCATAAAGGAAGGTGGTCACGTAGGGTGATGCCTCGCACTGCTTGTAGCTGCGCCCGCACGGGACGCAATACCTTACACTGCCGGACACGATCGTGACTACCAGAAGCCACGAACCAGAAATCGATTTTCGAATACGTCGGAGACTTGTTGGAGGAGTAACAAGTGCTCTCGGTTTTCGAAGGCTAACTTGACCGGACCACACATGTTGCTCCTCGAACAACTTGCGGACCTCTTCGCCCGCTCCACGCCGGTGGGCCTCGCGATTCCTAGACGGACCAATTGAGGAGCTTGGAGGTTCTGTCTAGACACCAAAGATTTTATACCAGGCCCATCCATCGTTTAGATCATCATATAAATTACCGGTAGTGTGCGCGCAGCTACCTCTTGCAACAGGCTGCGCCACCATCTCGTTAAGGCCTGGACAGTAGCATAATAAAAAAAAAAACAGTTTGTCCTTGTTTCGGCGTTTGTGGTGGATCGTACAAAGCGCCAAATGTTATATCAGTCGCTCCTCTCTTCGCTCTCGCCGCCACAGCCCTGCCCCCGCAGTCTGGAGAAGCCTCCCACACCTTGGCCACGTCCTGGTCGCAACACTCAGGTCCAAGTATGACCGAACATCCAGTCAAAGTATGTGTGTAAGCCCCTGGGGTGTGCACCGGCTCGATTACCAGACTACCATCGACACGACGGCGAAGAACTCCTGCCCCCTCCTGCAGCTCACTTTCGTCCCTGCAAGCAAGAAGAAATCGGAGGCGCGGTTGGCGGCGAACAGCTCGTGGAGCCGCTCGCCCGTCGCATGCAAGGGGTTGAAGGCGAGGATCCGCAGAGCAGACCTCGCCGCGGCGCCCGCGCTAGCGCCATGGGCGGGCATGAAAAAGGGGCTCTCCGACCCCTAGGCGCACTGTGAGAAGTGCCGTGATCCCCTGGTCTTGGCGGCCTCCGAGTCGCCCAGGGGCTGGAGGAGGAGAAGGAGGAGAAGGAGGATGAGGAGGAGGAGGAGGAAGAGGAGGAGGAGGAGGAAGAGGAGGAGGAGGAGGAGGGAGGAGGAGGGAGCAGAAGGAGGAGGAAGAGGAGGAGGAGGAGGAGGAAGAGGAGGAGGAAGAGGAGGAAGAGGAGGAGGAGAGGAGGAGGAGAGGGAGGAGGGGAGGGGAGGAGGAGGAGGAGGGAGGAGAAGGTGGGAGTCCTTCTCCTCCTCCAAAGCCCACGCCCCCCTGTCCTCCAGAGCCCACGCTGAGGAGCGCGTTGTAGTCCCCCCCAGCGGATACGCGGCCGATCAACGCCCTGGGCGGCAAGGACTGCAGCGGGGTCGCCAGCCTGTGGGACGCGAGCGGGGAATCTCAGGCCTCTCTTGTATCACCTGTCAGCAACCTCCATCCTCCCACCTTCTTCTTCTTTTTCTTATTATTCTTCTTATTATTCTTCTTCTTAGTATTATTATTGTCTTCTTCCCCAAACTCCTTCTCCCCATACTCATTCTATCTCCTCACCATATCCCTCTCCGTCTTCCTTCTCCCTCCGTCCCGCCTTTCTCTTCCGTCTCTCATCCGCCTCCTTCCTCTCTCTCTCTCTATCTCTCTCCTCGTCCTCCCCATCCTCCTTCTCCCCACTCCCTTCTCCCTCTCGCCGTATCTCTCGTTCCTCATCGTACTGTCACCCTCCTTTTTTCCTCCTCTCCCATCCTCCTCCTCCTCCTCCTCCTCCTCCTTCGCCTCCTCCTCCTCCTCCTCCTCCTCCTCCTCCTCCTCCTCCTCTGCCTTATCCCTGTGGAAGGAGAGGGCGGGATGCGGGGAGTGACGAAAGCGAGGGAAGAACGGGGGGAGAGGAGAAGGGGGAAAGGGAAATGTGCTCGGGGGTGGAGAGGGGGATGTGAGAGGGAGTTCAGGATCAGGCCTCTGCGAGAGCACGGCCGAGTCTGCGCAAGCCTACAGCGGCGGCCACGGATGGGCAACACGTGAGCCCTTCCGAACTCGTGAGCGCAAGCGGGACCTCGTGAGTCAGGAACCCCATGTGTAAAGGGGCCCCAGAACACGTAAATAAATACGCACAAATAAAAAACATCTACATAGTTTCCAATATTTTCTGGGTTTCTGTCTTCCCCCCCACTTCCCATATGTTCCAATATTTTCTGGGGGGATCGGCGATTAATTGTGTCTGTGTGCTTCTTTCCCTCCTGAATGTGGCCGCTCTGACCAGCGGGGCTCGTCTCAGGGAGGCGGGACGATCCAAAACAGCGCGAGGGGCGGTGGCCGCCCTGCCGCGAGTGCCGCCACCCCCGAAGGTCCTGTGGGCCAGCCCAGCTGGGGTCACCGCGCCCGCCCCCAACCGAGGGCGAGGAGAGGGCGAGCGGGTGAAGAGGGAGGGAGAGGGGGGCAAGCTTGGGGGGGAAGGGGGAGTGCAGGAGGTACGGAGATCGGCAGGACGCGGAGATAGCGAGGACCGAAGGTGATCCTTGACACTGGACCCTCGACCCACCTACCTCGACCCTGGATCCTCGAAGCTGGATCCTCGATCCTCAAACCTCGACGCTCGAGGCTCGATCCTCCATCATCGAACCTCCATCCTCGACCGTCGAACCTCGACTCTCGATCCTCGATCGTAGATCCTGGATCCTCGAACCTCGAAGCTGGATCCTCGATCCTCGATCCTCGATCCTCGAGCCTCGAACCTGAATCCTCGAACCTCGAACCTCCATCCTCGAACCTCGATCCTCGTGACGAAGTGTGTGTTCGGGGGAAGGAGGCGGGCCTCTCCATGCCGTTCTCGTCGCAGAACTCGGCGGCCTCCGAATGGGGGGGTGCTGCGAACAGACCCCTCTCCAGCGTCCTCCTCAAACTGCTCCTCCTCTGCCTAGTTCTCCTCCTCCACCTCCCCGTCCTGTTTTGCAAGATCGCCGCCCTCGCCCTCCTCCTCGCCCTCCTCATCCTCCTCCTGCTAACTCTCATCCCGCATCTTCGTCCTCCGACTCGTTCACATCCTGATCGTCCTTATCACCGTCCTCCTCCTCCTCATCCTCCTCCTCATCATCCTCATCATCATCCTCATCCTCATCATCCTCATCATCCTCATCCTCGTCCTCCTCCTCCTCCTCATCATCATCATACTCATGATCACCACCATCATCATCATCATCATCATCATCATCATCAGCATCATCATCATCCTCGTCCTCATCATCGTCATCATCATCAGCATCATTAGCAGCGTCATCATCACCACCACCACAAACACCATCACCAACACTGAGACCATCACCATGAGGATAATCATCTTAATCGCCACCATCACCATCACGATCACGATCACCATCACCATCACAATAATCAACATCACCATGACCATCACCGTCATCATCACCACCGTCATCATATCATCAGCAGCATAATCACCATCATCATAATCATCATCATATCCATCATCATCGTCATCGTCGTCATCATCACGATCACCACCACTACCACCATCATTATCATCATCATCGACGTCATCATCACCCACACTACCATCACTATCACCGTCACAATCACCGTCACCATCATCATCATCATCATCATCATCATCATCATCATCATCATCAGCAGCAGCAGCAGCAGCATCAGCATCAGCATCAGCGTCAGCATCATCATCAGCATCATCATCATCATGATCCTGCTCGTCCTCATCCTTGTCCTTCTCCGTTCCCTCCTCCTCATCATGCTTGTTATCATCCTTGACCCCCTCCTTACCCTCATCCTCCTCCTCATCGTCGTCCTTCTCCTTCCATTGTGGCGCGCAAGACATACCAGGTGCTGTCCCGTGTTGTCAGGCACTGGCAGGCACTGCCGGGTACTCAGACGTATAGAAAGGTGCTGGCAATGCCAGGTGTTGCTCAGGCACTGATGATGTGCACGGCCATGGACTGCCAGGCGGTGCCAGGTACTTGGACGTATGGGCATGTGCTGCCAATGCCAAGTGTTACTCAGCCTCTGCCAAGCGCGGCCAGGCACTGCCAGGCGGTGCCAAGAACTGCCTGGCGCTGCCAGGCACCGCCGGGCACTGCCATGTACGGCCTGGCGCAGCTAGGCCATGCCCGGCCATCCCAGATACTGCCCCGCACGACCCAGGTCCTGATGGGCACTACCAGGCACGGCCAGGTGGATCAGGCGCAGACAGGCCACGCGAGGTGCAGAGCCTGCCAGGTACTGGTGCTTCAAGGCACTGCCAAGTGCAGCCAGGCACTGCCAGGCACCGCCTGGGACTGCCAGGCGCTGACAAAAAGGTGCTGCCACGTGCTGCCAGGTACGGCCAGGCGATGCTACGCACTGACGGTCCATGCCAAGCGTTGCCAGGCACTGCCAGGTACTGGCAGGTGCGGCCAGGTACTGCCGCGTACTGCCACATGCTGCCATGCTCTGCAGACCGCTGCCCAGCACTGCCATGCAGTGCCAGGTACGACAAGGAGGGGCGAAGCTCCGACAGGTCATGCCAGGTATTGCCAGATATTGTCAGGTGAAGCCAGGCACCGCCAGGCGCTGATAAGCATTGACATGCATTCTCATATGTGGACACGCGTGGCCAGATTGCCACGTACTCCCACGTACTGCCGTACCAGGCACTACCGTGCGCTGCCAGACAATGCAATGGACGGGCGGCCACGGGACAACCACGGGACAACCATGGGACAACACCGGGATAATCACAAAGCAACCACGAAAAAAACAAAAAACAAAAACAACAAAACAACTGCAAAAACACCACGGGACAGCCGCGGGACAAACACGGGAAATCCGCGGAACAACCACGGGAACCCCCCGAGGGCAGCCACGGAACAACCACGGGACAACCATGGGGTAACGGCGGAAACACCATGGGACAACTACAGCACAAGCTGGGACAACCGCGGGACAACCGCGGGAC